GTCAAAAGACGTCCCAAAACGTCAGTTATATGACGATTTGGGATGAGACCGGGTTGCTTGAGTAAATGTTCTATGTGTGTGCAGTGTCAAGAATTAACAGTCACTAAGCTCCAAATGCGTGTTACTTGCCAGTTGTCTGGTAACTTTATTAACAAACCGCAATATAACGATTGGTTGAAAGTATAATGTAAAGACTCTTTTACATGTGAAGTGTGTGGGTGACCTGGTAAACCCTACATTATAGGGAAGATGGCAATATCCAAAATCATTGTTGGGACATTTTTGGTTCCCATTAGGAAAACAGCTTATAAATCAGACTAAATTATGTTTTTTTTTGAGAAAGTAAAAATGCAAAAAGTATTCTGTGATAGTCAGGTTTAGGATGATAGATTAGAAAAATAATTGTGTCCCCATAAAACATGAAAACACAACGTGTGTGTGTGTGTGTGTCTGACATGTTGCCCTTGTTGCCCTGGCTACACTGCCTTTAGTTCTTGGCACCTCTGTGAGGAGTTGCTCCAGCCTGACAGAGGTGTGGTTTACGAGCACTTATTTTATGAACACTCTGGTGAATTACTTCAGTCTTGTAATGTATTAACACTAGCCTTTCTCTCTTTCTATCCTCCTTTCTCCCCAGGCAGGGAAAAGAATCTTAAAGGCTACAATGTAGCTCTTGGAATATATATTGCATCAATAAAGTAAGGAAAATAAATAAATAAATAAAAAAAATAAAACAGCGACGTTTATCAATTTTAGCCGGCACCACAGAGGCTCTTTTGGCCGTGATGTGCACCTGTGTTCGGGGATTGAAACTGCTGAAGGCTCTGCTGCAGTGACTCCAGAGTAGCAGGTTGAGTTATACCGAAGGGCCCATTGCGCTTCTATGCAGATAATTCTCCAGCTCTGCCTAGAGTCTTGAGGTTTAACAGCAAGGTCTGTTTATGTCTCAATATTCCTTATGTGTCACAAATGGCCTCCTAATACTTCATAGATTATTGGCACTGAATTTGACACCCATATACTGAAGTGATAAAAACAGTCATGATGGATAATTTATGGTTTGCATCGTCTTTTGAATTAGATTTAAACCCGTAAAGAAGGGCAATGGTGGAGAGAGTAAAGAGGGAAATTGTTTGCTGTGTGCTTCTACTGAGGAGGACATTTTAGACTGAATACCAATTCACAAATACAGTATATATGTCTTATAGATAAATACAATCAAAAGCCAAAACTAAAGCACAAGTGGTTGTGGGCAATATGGGCCTTGTGGTACACTCATCTGAAATCCACAAAAATCAGGTAGGGCTATTGTTTGGCTAAATTTACATTTGATAAACTGGCTCCCTTTCAATTCGATATGAATTATCCACACCTCACAGGAAGCTATAATGGAATATGAATTAGAGTTCTGGTCCTTCCTCCCTGTTTCATACATCTGTTTGTCTGTACGGCATTTAAACCTTCACCCTGAAATGTCAAGAATTGTTTTTCTTTTTGGTAAAACTTAAAAAAAGCTCTCAAGCCAGCAGATTTTAAATGGTCAAACTTTCCTTTTACTTGTTCAAATTAAACTACTTGAAAGAATGAATTTCTTTAAGCACATTTTAGTTACATTTAAGCACATCAGTTAAAATTCAATTCTAACTTAGAAACTGAACTGAAATCTAAAAAGCATCCTAAATTCAATTATCAACAGCGCACAAGCTTGTTAGAAATAGTATACCTAGTATATCTTGTATAGTATATTTCCAACATATGATTTGGGATGCCCTAATCCTAATCTTATGTGAATTGGTGTTTGTGTACTGGTGACAGGCTGGAGGCTGTAAATCCTGCCTGGAAATATCAGCCCGCTGCTAAAGCCTGCTGCCGCTGACCATTCCCTCCTCTAATCCTTCTGTATCGGCTGCCACAGCACTCTCGCCAGCATTTATTCCCTTTTGCTCTCGCTATCTCTTTCTCTTTTCCTCTCCAACTACAGTATCGCCAAATCATCTCCACATCTTCTAGCTCCCCTCTTCCTATGTCCTCAAAGCATGTCCATGCCAGCAACATGATTCAAACTCACCCAAAACTACAAGTTTTGTCCTGAGGTAGGCTGCCCTTTCCTTCAGATCCCTTGTGGATATCCAGTGGGCTAGAGCATAGCCACCAGTTTCAGTGTGCCATTTGTAGTCTGGCAAATTGGCCATTTTACTGTAGGGTCCGTCAAGCCCTATGAATATTTGATGGGGCCTAGCTGTTGATGAGCGTGTGTGCTGACTCCCTTATCTTATTTGGTCAGGATGCCAGAATTATACTTCGTACCTCCGAGCCCGTCCCCAGGAGAGAGACGGGAGGAGGGATGCGAGTTGGGGGAGCTGTTAAGCCCTAACTCTGTGGTGGCTCCCTCTGGAGGGGGATTTAAGAGAGAAATAGAGAGTGAGCGAGCAAGAGAGATCATCTCAATCAGCCGAGCACTGGTGCGATAAAGAAAGGGAAATGGAAGTCAACTCTCCGACAAGACAACCATTCCCCTCGGGTTGACAGAGGTTGAGAAAAGCTCCTGCACCTCCTTGGCAGGAACTGATAATAGAGAGGCACGAATCGTCACCTCTTCCAATTCTCTGCGTGCTCCGTATAGGGATCAGAGTGCCTGCCATCTCCCGGGTGGTGAGGGGTACGGACAGAACTACCACATGGGTCATGCTACTATAATAAAAGATGAAACTGTGACAGTGGCGTAAATGTGCTGGTGCCCTGGGGCTTAGAATGAGCTGATATAAAGGCACCTTGACAGGTGAATTCCTCCTCGCTGGGGAAAAACCCTGATCCCTAGCCCCTGGATTTAGTCATGGTGCGGGGCAATGGATTCAGAAAGCTGCTTTAGAGAATGAGCAAGATGGAAAACAAAGGGTTAAGGTGTGTGTGTGTGTTCTCAAGAGTCTGGTAGATGGAGCCGAGGTCCACAGTCGGTAGGGGGATCACGTTGGGGGGATGTGAGGGCTTTTTCTGTAGCTTGAGAGAGACGGTGTAGTTGTGCTACTAGCCTCCAGGCCACTGCAAATAAATGGATTTTCTTTTTCCATTTACCAATATCCAAAATCTTATTTTATTCTCCCTTCACAAGTGAACTAGGCGAAATGGCGGTCGAGAGGAAGTAAATGAAGACATTCGCTCATGATCTCCATTGTTCTAATGCTCTGTAGAAATATATTGAGGAAAAGTAACTTTTCAGACATTCAGATTAGTCCAAGAGTACCCCTGCCAATAAATCTTTCCTTTAAAACTTGCCAAGAGGTGCCAGAAAATCAATTTGCCCTTGACCTTTAACCTGCGGCTGGCTATTTCCCACTTTGTCCTTGTGGTTGTATATCGTGAACTATATTGCTTTTTAAAATTACAATTCAATGCCTCAATATTAGTTGAATATGAATTAAGGTTGTAATATCTTTTTTAAAAACTCATTTTATATATTGACAATTGAAATGTTGGTTCTAGTTTCTGTTTGTTACTTCAATTCAAATTCAGTTCAAGCTCATAAATTGAATATTAATTAAAGAAAGCACTCTCATTTCAATTGTCAACAGTGCACAAGACTGCTAGAAATTGTTTGAATTTCGTCCTGTCATTCTAATGCAAATTCAACTTCTTTTGAGGTGTAGCCTTTTTAATTTAAATTCACACTTATGAATTGAAAGCTAGTCAATTAAACATTTTTTTTAACCCTGGTCCTTATGCCGCTCGTCATCCATTCTCAACCACAAGGGTCAAAGTCCTTCCCAAATTCTACTTGAATGCATTATATATGCCTCTTTCCTCTATTCCAAATCCATTCTGACCCTAAACCTTATAAAGGTGACAAAAGGAGGAGCATGTGCTTTCTGAAAGGCTTTGGCCTTCATCAGCTCCCTCCTAATCTAATCAGACTCTTCTTCGTTCAGCCTAATGTGAGTCTTTTAATTGTGTTATGGGCAGGGTCAGGAAAGATGGGCCTCTCAGAGGCAATAACGAGGATACGGAGAAGAGTATATCGACTGTTGACATTGGGCAGAGCTGGTACGCTCTAGGCGTTGTTATGGCAATAACCACATTAAGGCACATCTGGTCCAGGATGCTGCACAGACATTAGGACAGGATGGAACTGATGAGTTAGTAGAGAAGGACTTGAATCAGGTCAAGAATGGATCAGACAAGACAAAAATGAACTTTAGTGTGGTTTTAAGAGCATGCTAACAGACATTGACCGAGGGATGTGTGCTAAACCTGTCAATTCACCTGCCAACTGAATATGAATGATGCTTCTTGAGACCGTTCTTACACAGAATAAGGCACCGCTGCCACTTTTGCCCGTCTGAAGCTCTGATTGATATTCACAGCATCGTTATGATACCTGCATACTAAACGAACATATTAGCATATGGTCCTGTATTCAAGGCAAGGTCTCCTGAAGGAAAAAAGAGTCTAGGTTGCATGAAAGGTGAAGACACCCCACTGCTGAAATAATGAATACCAGGAGCTAAGGGAATCGATGGATATTAGGCTCTGTCTCCCTAAGCCCATCTAACTGCTGGCCTGGTGACGCCTACCTTGCTTATCACCTGCAGTATGATGAACGAGGCTCCTACACTGCTGGGAAATTTCCCAAAAATCCCTGGTGCAATAGATTTTGTTAGGGGTTCGCCTGAGTGCGCACAAAGTCCAATATATCTGCACTAGACCTTGACCATTACCCTGTCTGCATGTTCAGCACCCCGATTAGGCCAGCAGATTTAATCTTGGGACTGGTATTTACCAACGGTGACAGATAGACGGGACTAGTGAGAGAAGTCTCCCAAAAAGGGGGTATTAAAGTAGTAATAGTAATAGTCCACCCAAAAATTCGAATTGTGTCATCATTTACATAATTTTAAAATCATGTTTTTACTTTCTTCTGTTAAACTTAAAAGAAAGGGTTACTTTTTATCTACAATTTTGACTTGTATGGAAATTTTTCAAAACTATATGTTTGTGTTTCACAGAATACATCATACAGATTTGCAACAACATGATGGTAAATAAATAATCACAGAATTTGGATGAACTATCTCTTTAATAGATTGAGATTCATGAAATAGCTTGCTTTGCCATGTCCATTTGATTTAAAGTTATTCTGTTCCCTTTAGGCAGGAGCAAATGAGTATGATTGGCACACTGGTGTGTGTCTGCATTCGTATTGTGCCATTTTTGATGCCCTGCTGGTCATTTCCAGAGCCAAGTCCATGCGTGCCATCACAGTACCCTACGGAATCTACTCGACATATGTCCCTTTGGCGGCTGGGTACACAACTGTCCACCCAACTTGCGCCTGCACCCCGGCAGCTGAGCCACACTTCCCCGGGTCAGAGAAGATGGAGGTAGAAGACAAAAATAGAAAGAGCTGGGCCATCAATCAGTTCACAAGTCAGACAAATAGACAAAATTTCATAAACGAGGCCCTTTATTGACGGCTGGTCTCATAACGTTTATCCGAAATCCATTTTGCCTGACCGTTATGTGAGCATTAGGGATCATTGAGCATCACCTTAGCCATGCGTGAAGATTCATGCCAGGAGTTTCATCTGCAGCAGACGTCAAAATCAATAGCCAATGTCAGCGGCACCACAGTGTCTTGCTTCGTGACTCGCCTCTGCCTCAGATTCTGACTTAAGTCTTTTATGTCATAACGGGATGGGCTGTAGATGGCAGTTTGTAGCATTAAGGAACAAAAACTGCAAAAACACGCTTGCACTTCTTTTACAGAAGTGCAATTCCAGCACCGATATCATGAATCTGAATAAGTGGTTTTGACAGTGTAATCCATTTAAAAAGCTGGACACCGAGGACATGCTGAGAGATGTATCCACTGTGAATGAAAGCGTAGCTCAGATGTTATTTAATCACAGTTCTGGGGTCTGAATTGAGTTGGGAGGAGCAGGCGAGAATTTTGATGACAAGCATGAAAACAGACTGTTAAAGTAAATTTGCAGATAAAGGAATTAAATGGCTCTATTTTGAATTTTAAATTTATTCTGTCCTTGTAAGGTGTGTTATCTGCAAAGCCCCGATCAGGGCAGCGTGTGTATGTGAGGTCTGAAGCCCCCCTGAAACCCCAAATCCACCCTGGATTAGTGGAGTTGGGTAAGGTCTGATTGGTAACATTGCTCAAATCCTTCCGCCTGCTCAAAAGCTCCCCAAAAGTGGGCAAGCTTTAGTGTCAGTTTGTTCCCTGAGAAAGGAAGAAACAACCCCCTGACCCCCCTCCTTTCCAAACCATGCCACACAAACAAATTGTGCAGTGCTGTGTGCCATTTTAGAACTGGGTTGTAATGAGAATGCCTTTTAAATTCTTGAATTGAATTGAGGTAGCAAACAGGATGCAAATTGAAATTGAAATTCATATTTGAATGTAAATACAATTGAAATGAATCAATTTAATATTTCTTCATATTACATGAAACTTAATTTCCCATAATGCATTGGTGGTCTCTTTCTGTCAATCCAATTCAACTTCCTATGGAATGTGGCCAATTTTTTAGTTCTGACAGGGTAATACAGCATTGGCTTTAACACTATCTAAAAAATCTCAGATGGTCAGACAGCGATTCATCTTTTATGATTGTAACGTTTTTAAACTCTCAAATATACATCAAATGTGGAATTTGAATTAACAGTACTTTTAAACGTTGCTGTATTTAGTACTCCTTATGTCTCAACTTAACAAGTGTAGTGGTTTCCCCAGTGGTGTAAGTTTGATGCAGGTCTCTTCTTGTTTAAACAATGACACTAGGACTGTACAAAACCTGTTTGGAAACAATATAATCACAATTCTTTTTGCTCCCTCTAGTGGCAAAAATACATGCATCAGCCACCCACCCTTTGAGGCTTCTTGACTGTCTTCTTTTTCATTTCAGCCACTAATCAGATCACCAAGGCCATCTCGTTTCTTTTGTTCTTCTTTTCTTTTGAAGAACCAACAAGCACAAAGCATTTCTCTAGTACTAATCTTTTGAGCTGTTTTCAAATAAGGACTTCATCGTAATAAGCTACAGGCGATCTGTGCAAAGGGCTTTCACTAATGGATTAAATATTCATAAATAAATACTGCTTTAGAAAAAGCCATCAAGGCAGCTTGTGTTTACATTTTTTCCACAAGAGGAAAATAAAAGTGAAAAACAAGTTGTTGCACATTGAAATAACAAAGAAAAGTGTATTGTTAATTTTCCCTGCTAATTGATAGAATTTTTCCTGGCAAATTAATCCATGGAAATGTTTAATTGGCCCTATGCGTATCATAGAGGAACAGGTCAGCAAGCTGGGTTTCACCCTCGGGCCTTTTCTCAGAGTTGAGCTTATCTTCTACCACGGCCAGTCAATATTTGATTTGATTCAGATGGGGTCTGGTCTTGGACGCTGACCTACAAAAGAGATACATTTCTTGGATCTGTCTCCTTAAGGTTCATTTTTTATTTTCAAGCTGCAGAGTCAATTTTTGTTCCCTGTCATGAGGAAATAAATAATTCCTAGGTCATGGATGGATGGGGGGGTGGGGGGATTGGGCCGCCGAACCTGGCTGGGTGACTCGTGGCTGGAGTGTGTGCGTGTTTTTTGTGTGTTTGAGGCTGGGAGGACAAGGCTGGTCGAATGAGTTGATATTCTGCTGCTGGAACGAATGCTAATTTAATCAATGTGCTGTAAATCCGACTAGCTGCTGACTCATTTGTGACTGCTGCCCCATGGGGACGTGAACAAAAAGCCCTGCCATTGCAGTTTACTCCCAGATGCATTTTAAAATATGCTCTCTCTCTCTCTCTCTCTCTCTCTCTCTCTCTCTCTCTCTCTCTCTCTCTCTCTCTCTCTCTCTCTCTCTCTCTCTCTTTATACACACGCAAAGACACAAACAGATTTGTGCATAAATGGGAGAGGCAAATACATGCTGAGATCATGCACGTGCAAAATTTGTATATCTACTGTGTGTGTGTGTACACGAGAACACTCTTGTGCAAAGTGCTGAGTTGGTGACTTTGGGAGCATTGAGGTGAGGGGATAGAGACTTACCTCTGTCTCCTTGGACCAATATGTCAGCTGCTCTACATGTCCTAACCATTAGTTTCAGAGTCTTCTCACAGCAAACATACGTCAACAAGCACATATATACATGCTTAATGGAGAGTTGCTACAGTGACCAATTGCTTGTCTGGATGATGTAAATGTTATCATGAGTAACATTGCCATAGCAGCTGTGGAAGAATTATGCAGTTTAGAGAGAAGGGAGAAATCTGAGAGAAGAGGTAGAAATATTATAGGAAAGGCAAATCACAAATGTGATTGTTATAGCATTAAGATTAAATATAAAATGTGAACTTTGATTTCAGATTTGTAAACTGGGAAAAATACCTTGGTAATCTCCCAAATTTCTCCTTTAGAGTTTTATAGGAGATCTTAAAAGCGAACACTTTCATATGTTAAATATCAATAAAATTGCTAGATTAGCTGTTCCGTGTATGTGCCACACCACATCAGAGCATCCTGACCTTATACTGTTAATCCTATGGTTTATTTCACATACATCATCAATACATAATGCGTTTGGTGATGTTGCAACTTAAGTTGATTTGTTGTTTATTTGACAACATTCATGGCCTTTAAATAGAAATATTAAATGCAGAGAAAATGTTGAATGTGCGAAAGCACCTACTGTCACACACTGTGATCAGATACAAATATATGAAATTAAAAGTCAGTCCAAATAATCTGTCTAATCTAAATCTTTTAGGGAAAAAAAGCATCCACTAAAAGAGTGATATTGAAAGGCTACATAATTGAGAACTCCATTAAGTCCTTAAAATGTTCCTCTAGATTGATCAAAAGGAAAAACAAGAGGCAACGAGTTTAAGATAAAATCTGAGGAAGAAAGAGAGTGAGATCAAGACAAAAAGGAGACAGAGGAATTGAGAGTAGGGGGTGCTAAGGGGGATAATCCTGAGGGACAGGTTTTATGGGTATGTGGAAATTTATTTAGAATAAGTCCGCAGTACCCAGTGCGTGCAGACGTGGGGGGAGAAAGAGGGACTTTAATTAATGAGAGCACGCTTGTCGCAGGCTTTGGAAAGGCTGCTAAATCACTGATGCAAATGGAATGAGCCTGAGAATATAGGCGTTCTCTCTCTCTCTCTCTCTCTCTCTCTCTCTCTCTCTCTCTCTCTCTCTCTCTCTCTCTCTCTCTCTCTCTCTCTCTCTCTCTCTCTCTCTCATTCTTTATCTCCTACTTTTACTCTCATCATTCTGTCTCTGTCTCTTTCTCTGCCCTCATTCCTGCACACTAATAAACACACACATAGACATGTAGGTGTAAAAAAGAAAGAAAGTTTATTTACTTCTCTCAAGCTTCTCATAGCCACAATTTTGACTATTAACATTAGATTAGGCAAGGCAAGGCAAATTTATTTATATAGCACATTTTATACACATGGCAATTCAAAAGTGGTTTACATGGAAGGAATTAAAATAATCAAAAGAAAACAGAATAATTAAAACAGTTTAGAATAAAAAAAATAAATCATAATAATAAAAATAAAATACAGTAAATAATTGAAACAATTTAGAATAAAAAATAAAATGAAGTAGAGTAATAGTCGGATGAACAGTTGCACAGTGCTCATTCAGTAAATGCACAGCTAAACAGATGTGTTTTGAGTCTGGATTTGAATGTGACTACTGTAGGAGCACACCTGATCTCCTCTGGAAGCTGGTTCCAGCTGTGGCTGGCATAATAGCTAAAAGCAGACTCTCCATGCTTAGAGTAAACCCTCGGTATTTCTAGCTGATGTGATCCTATATATTCAGTGAGCATATCTGCAATATATTGAGGTCCTAACCCATTAAATGATTTATAAACCAGTAATAATACTTTTAAAATCAATCCTAAATGTAACTGGCACCCAGTGTAAAGACCTGACCTCATAAGATCTATCTGAAGCTCAAGCATTAGTCAACTTCGAAGTAAATAATTCCCAAGAGAGAGACCAACTACTCTTACTCTGAGGTGGCTAAATGCCCGAAGGGTAACAGATTTCACATCATAAGGGAAGTCATACCACATCTCACTATCATTCTGCTACCTTAAAAGGAGAACTTCAGGGCCAAAAAATCCAAAATGCAATCCCTTAATACATTGAAATGCTGGTCTGACCTGCTGCCGGGTATGCTCTGCCATTCAGACGCACCGTTGTTTACAGGCAGGATGGCAGGGTTGTTTTTGTTTAGATGTCAGGGTTGGAGCTCTCAGTGTCAATGCTCCTCGATCCCCTCAACATCAGCGAAACTAGCCCGCTGATGTCGGTGGATACGAGCGGAGAACGGGTCCTTCCATGCCCTCTCGATCACAGTATGAAGGTCAGGAAGGAATGGAAGGCTCACTATCGATTATGGCCAGGGAGAAACCGATCATCGAGCTTGCCTCAAACAGTCTCTCCTCCAGCGCATTGCCTTGGCATCTGCAACCTGTCGGCAGCACGCCCCATAACATCCACCAGATCCGCATACACAGGGCAGGGTGGCTGAGGAGGTTTACGATCTACCCGATTATCAACCTCCTCAGCCATCTCCTGCTCGTACTGAAGAGCAATATCTGCAGGAACAGTCAGCAAATAATTATCATCATCAACATGCAGATCGCTCTCGTTAATCGCCTGATCATCCGAGAGCTTTACAGCCCTCTCGAGGTGATCGACGAGCTCTATCTGGGAACCCCATGATGCAAGTCACTGCTCTGCCTCGTCACGAGCGGGACCTGAACCATGAGGACCAGATGCTGAGCCCTCTTAACTCAAGAACAGGGCAAGACGAGAACGGAGCGTTTTCAAAGAAAAATGCTCACAGTCCGCACAGAGGGCTCCCTCAAGAACCTCCTGTGCATGCTCTTCACCCAGACAAAAAACGCACAGCTCGTGTGTGTCACCCGGCGTCAAGAACCTTGGGCAC